CAAACTGAGTGAGGAGTTAATTGAGAGGATCAATAATAATTGGTTTATCTAGCCTTGGACAGAGCCTGGCTAGATGTTTCATCCTGTGTCCAGTCTTTATGCTAAGCTAACAGGCTGCTGTCTGCCATATACTAATCTAACTTTGATTCAAAAAGGGAACATTTAATAAAAACATGTTCACTTATTCTCTGATCCTGACGTTTTAAGGTTGTATTTTGTATAGACATTGAGAACTAATATCTGAAACTCATGACCTATTTGACAAATAAAAAAGATATCATCTGGAAATGTTAAAGTCATACTTTCAGTTCTTAAAACGTAAGCATAATATTTTTGCGTGACTCGGTGCATCTCCAGGTCCGAGTCGCAGGTTCAGACGAGTGGTGGAAACGATTCAAGCCCAACTTCTCAGCTCTCATGATCAACCCATGGCGCAAGCCCTATCTGGTGAGACTGCTTATTCACGCTTGTGCTTCCACCAGAGTAACAATATGACATTTTCCATGTTTGGATTTATTATTCTAGGTATGTGCAGGGGCATTTATGTGTTTTTCTTGCCTTTTTATGTTTTGAAATATATTTTATTGACCAAATACTTCATTTCCTTGAGCTTGAAACGTCTCTTGGTATTCACAGATACAGACACATATAGGTGGCCCTAAACTAACTTATTACACCATGAGCTATCTGAATATATGCAAATGTATTATCTCGTTCACACTGTGGCTTTTGTAGAATCATTAAACATTAACTTATATTGTTGTTTGTTTAATTAGATTTCAAGGCTATGGACCTTTTTCTATTCAAACCATACTCTCGAATTTTCTTGGAAATTCATAGGCTGAAGTAGTGCAGTTGATCGTTCAATAAAGGAACTGAATTTAAGGCTTACCCCCCATTTCTGTAATCAAACATTCCATAGACACTAAAGCATGTATACGGCTGTGGTGGTGTTGGGATCAGGGGAGTGCAAACCCCACTGCAGTCAGCATGTCGTTGTGTCCCTGGGCAAGACACTTCACCCCAAATTGCTCCTGTGGGGATTGCCCACAGTATTGAGTATGTAAGTCGCTTTGGATAAAAACGTCTAACAAGTAACATGTAATGTATACGTCGAGAGTGACTTTCCTGTTCTCGTCTGCTGATCCCTTCCCAGATGAGAAGAACGGCCGGCCCCACGGGACCCCCACCCGCCAAAACTCGAGGCGCTCCGAGGGTGGGGGCGACAGGTGCGAGTGGGGCGACCGGGCGGACGGAGGAAGCATCGGAGGCAGCGGGGGGGTCCTGCAGCGCAGAGGCTCGGCGAAAGAGAGAACCCGACTGCTGTCCTCCAACGGAACCCAATCCCAACCGTAGGAGGGAAGTGAGTCAGTGCAGCGGGATGCCTGAACCACAGCGGGAAGAAGACAGTGTAACTTCATCTCCAAGTGTCCCTGCAAGCCATGAGCTACTCCTTTTCCTCCTTGACTAAGTTATTGAAGGTGCAAGGGTTGAGTATTTCTCTGTCACGCTTTTTTCCCCCTCCCAAGTCCACATTGTTTTGATCTTCTGGATCTCCAGGATTCCTATCCCTTAAATGAGAAGTGTTAAGGAATCACCCTTTAAGGGAAAACATATAAATGTGAATGAGCAGTTTGGTATCCCTCATAGATACAGCTTCACAGATCCAACTAGGAATTTTGAAGTGCTAATGTGCATGCCAGTTAGCAAATCAGCCTGCTAAAGGATGCTGAAATGATCAGATAGGCTAGTCTACCATATCGTCGTAATACAGTATCTGACACCAAAAAGAAGTAACAGTCTTGTGACGGTTCTCAAGATTACTCTTTAAATTAACCAGTGCGCTCATATCATTATCAAGCAACATGCAGTCCATACTGAAAGAAATATAGATGTATCTCTGCAGAAGAACCCTAAGAGTTAGCAACCGGCTCCCACGTCAGTGAGGAGCTGAGCAAAAGGTCCTGATTTTCTCAGGAGAAACAACAGCCTGGAACTCCAGCGGTGTCTTCTCCTGAGCTAAAGAAAACCAACCAAGTAAGCTAAGTAAGTGAATGTGAAAATAAATATTTTTTTATTTAGTTTGTATTTATTGTTTACATATTTATTTCGAGGATGTCAGTAGCACAGTGACGGCAGTACAGACAGAAACACTCGACAGTGCCGGAGAGGGGACGTTGCTTTAAGAAGGCGTTAAAGTTCAATGTTTTGATTCTTTTTGTATTTTCTTTTTACTCAGAGACAATATGAAACAATGCATCTAAGATTTTCACGTTGGACCCTTTTTGCTCTGAACAAAAGTATTTTTTGATTTGAACAGAAATATGAACATAACTATATGAAGAAAAAAAAAACATTATGCGTGAATTGTTCCATGAACCTCATCCCTGCTGTTTGAGGCCAGAGTAAGAAGAGTGTTCCTGGCCTGTGGATCAAACAGACGCCACCTTTCTCGTCAAGCTTGTCTCCTATTGCCATAGTATTTATGTACTGACTCAGAACAAAATGAAACGACAACAAAAAAAACAAATTGATCAATGGACATTTTCATGATGCCGGACTCTAAAGGCTTGCGATGTCAATTCCTCGTTGTGCAGGACTTCAAAATGGGAAGCAAGCAAAGAGTCTCCTCACCCCGGGATCCTCACTTCTTCAGTGTTCACCAACAAGCCAAGTAGTCCATCACTGCACCCACGCTCACCACCAGAGAGTCGCACCATCCTGCAAGCAGACGTAGCAGCTCGGACAGTCACGTAGTCCTCCAGCACTCGATCAGACTAGTCGATGTTTTTCACCAGTCTTCCATACAGCACAATATGCAACAAAAGTGCAGAATGTTTTCAGAGAGACACACAGTGCTACAGTTCTGGTTATTATTTCGTTTTTTATATTTATTCACTAACGTATCCATCTATTTATTTTTTTGGTCAGGTCGTTGATTGTGTCATGTATTTGATTAGATTTAATGCCAACAAAAGCTAATACAAGTTGCCTATTTCAATTCTCATTATCACTGTTTTTTGAGCATCACTGACAAGTTGCTCTAATCTTCCCTCTCTGATGATATTTGCTTATGTCACATCATATTTATCGCGCTTATCTCTGGTAACGCGTGTGTGTGCGACGGGTGGATGGCGGCTGAGTGAGAGTGAGATGAAAACTTTGCAGCAGATGCATTCTCAGCGTACAGAGTTTTCAACTGACCCAGGAATACTACATGAACTAACAGCCAAACGCTAACAGGCACATCATTTCTCTCATGCATTAAATGCTTGCTATTTTGCTTCATCTCTTGCTTTTTAGCCTTGTCCCCTTTGACCTGTCCGTCTGCCTCTTCACCCGTTGTGTAGCCTTCATCACGAGAGAAACTGTACAAAGTTGTTTGCCTCACTGTCCGTGCACACTCTTTGATTGCTCACCATCACCACTTTCATCTTTCCTCGTCACGACGTCACCTTCACTATCATTGACCCAACTCTGGCTAAGATTGTAAACTATTCTCCATTCATAAGGGTCAGTAGAATAAGGTGTATACAAAAAAAAGGAAATGTCTATCATAATTTAAATATAAAAGGTGCACTATTATAACTATTGCCTGTGATAAAAAGAACAATTATGATTGAATTGATGGTCAAAATAAAGAGAGATCCACCTTATTGTTATGGTTACAATAATAAACCCTAAATTCATGTGTGTGTCTATTTAGTTTCTGGGCTAAAATGTTCTCTGTTCATTCTATGTGGCTGTTTTTTTGGTACCACTTTATAATAAGACTACCCTTATAAAGGGTTTACGAACAGTTTGTATTTCATTTATTAATTTGGTTGTGAACACTTTATAAATCATTAATAAGCTTTTATAAGACATGAGATAAACAGGGCAACTGTGACCGGTTGCTTGCCAAATAGTGAGCCCACATGTATCTACTGCTAAGCCTTATTAGAAATGGTAGTAACTCATTAATAAATGGGAATGTGTTTTATACTTTACAATAAGGCTCTCTTTTGGCAACTATAAATGTTAGTAACTCGTAAATAAATAGTCATAAAGAGATGCCAAGAAACATCAAGACGGAAGGGGGGGAACCAACTCAGTGAACAACAGATACCAAGGATGCTGGCTGATGAAGACGAAGTAAGCTAGGTAGCCAATATAAGGCTTAGTCATCTTGCCAAATAGTGAGCCTGTGTTGATGTATGAAAACTATTTTAGAACTGGTTCTTAATGATTAATAAAGTGTTTACAACCTAATTATAAACCCTTTATAAGGTCAGTCTTATTGTAAAGTGGTACCATTTTGTAATACTCTTCACAAAGGCCAACAAAGTAAGCTTTTAAGTTCTATCATCTGCATGCAAACATGATTTGATCATAATTATAACTTTAATCTCAATGGGCATTAACGTTCAAACAAGATAAACATACGCTGATAAGGAATTATTAACCTTAGAACAGTCATTTTTTCCAGAGTTTTTTTAAATGACTTATGGTTTTCAGTGCAGAGATGGGAGTTTCTAAGTCCACTTAAAAAAACGTAACACTTTTGTTAGGAAAAATGAATCAGAAAGCTACTGTAGTTCATATTCTTAGTATGAAATCAAATGAACAAATATCAAGAAAAGCCTGTCAGTCATTTACCTTTTTTAGATGTATTGTTCTTAGAATACGACAGTAGAGAGGTAATCCATATTGAAAGTCAAATCAGAGTCAACATTCCTTTATTTGTCCTGCAATGGGGACATTTACAGTATTACAACAGAAGCATAGTGGAGATAAAGTAAAATGATGAACGAAAAATAGGCAAACGTTATTAATAATAAAAACACAATAAGTAAAAAAACAAACAGATAAGCAAACCATGGTAAATTAAACAAAAACGAAGTAGCTATATATATTTTTTAAAGGGGACATATAGCCTACCATTATGGAAGTAGCTGGTACTGTTCACAGATTGTAAATTAGTTGAAGGAAAATGAACTACTGGCATATGTTGACATGGGGGCTTTTCTCCGCCCCTTGAACGTAACAGATTTAAGACATCAAACAGCTCACCAGCACTGCGTGATTCCGACATTTCCCACAGTCTGTGAAGGTAGCAGCAGCTCCATCCAGGAGCATCCACAGTACAGTTCAGTGGACAAGGCCGACACTCACAAATACACACTTGGACGTAGTGATGATTTAGCAGTCGATTCCATGCTACCCTGTATCCTGGAAATATCGTAAACAACAACAGGTATGCTCTCAGGGTTGTGACAGTGTTGTACTGCGTTGCAATGAAGGGAAAAGCAGTCGCATCTTCCCATGAACGTGAAGCATCCGTTAGCTAATGGGCTGGACGCTCGGCTAACAAGGCTAGCTGTAGTTAGCTAGCTCAAACGCCAGCTAGTGCATCAGTTGTATTGACTTTTTGTATTATTTGTAGCATAAAAGCTAATATTACTGTGGACCTCTTAGTTATAATAACAATAAGAGGTGTATGACTCAAAACGTGAAGCTGTGACACGTTACTGTTTGTACTGCTGAATCAAATTCTACTTTTTGTTTAATTTTAATGTAATATAAAACAAATGGTATAGCTAGCTAACACATCTTTGTAAAAAAAAAACTGAATATACTGTTGGTTGTTTAGTTGAGTTGTATTCTTACATATTAATTAGTTTGTTGTAGCCTATGATGTGTAGGCCTACATGTTTTGTTTTATTATAATTGCCACACATGAACTCAAACTAAACTAAACAACCAACAGGATTATCTGGCGTTTTTAAATATTTACGTTAGAGATAAATGTTGGTTTAAATAACTGTCAAATGACTGTCTGCTCTTTAACTGGGACCAAAAGAGCTCAGGGTGATCTTGACTGTAAGCTATATTTGCTTAACAAACAAAAAATGTGGACTTTATGGAAGTGGTCCTATCATAGGCTTCATATAATCAGAAGTACAGTGAGTGCTAATGTTTCTCTCATAGACTATATATATTTTTCTCTATAGAGTTTACACAGTAGCTGCTGCAGGTCAGAGGTGTTCTTGTTAAACATTGAAACATCACCAGGCCTGCCTCATAAAACACTACATATATTGGGCAATGGCTTTATAGTTGTGCACTTGGAATATCTGGATGTAAATGGGTGTACCTCTCAATAAAACACTCTCCTGACATTAGCATTCCTCCACTGAAGAGAGTAACTTTAATACTAGATTGTTATCAACAAAGATATATTGTGTTTTTCAGTAGACCAGCAGATTATAATGATTTATACAGTTTAATGAAGTGATAAAAAAGAGATGTATATCTTGGGAGCTTCACAGTCTTTTTGTCTTTTCAAATCTTCAACGAAAGTCCTTCCTGTGGACTACCGTTTCTGTAGTAAGAACATCTGCGTAAACAAATGTAGCTCAATTCTTCAACTGGAGAACACCTGAGTGAACAACCACTGTCACTTTAATAATCAAAAGTTTTTGCTCAAATAATGTCCAGCTAAATAAAATATAGTTTAAACAATTTCATCCAAAAAAGGGCATATAATGGAATATCTGGAAATCCAGAAAAAGAATCTCACATTTCGGATCATGTGTGTCTCTTGCATTATATGATTCCCGACAGTGGTGTTCACCTTTCACCTAGTTAACTGCCGGACCCAATTTCTCCTCTTTCTGGTCTGGACCCACTCTCTAATGTTGATCTGCTATCTTTCTGTCTGGCAGCTTAAAAAAAAAGAAGGGTGCAAAGTTGTTTAGTTGTTCAGCCAAAATACAGGGTTGTGTCAGTTCAGAGAGGTGTGTCTACATCGGCGCTGAACTGAGCAGGTTATTTGGAAGGGCTGACCAGCATTGAACTGAAGTCGCAAAATGCAGTATTTAAATATCAGGAAGCACAATATTTATTGAAAGCTAATTATGTGGTAAAAGGCCATTTTTCTGCAGGAATATCCCGGCCTAGTACAAATAGTATTCTACAGACTTAACAGAAGTTAGATTTGTTCCGTAAGAATCCAATTTAAAAATAACGCCATGGTTATTTGGAATATTTTTTTATGCAATGAGTATTTTGACTACAAACAGATTCTTCCCTCTTAAATCCTGAATTATATCGCAATTGTATTCAGTCAAAATGAATCCCAATGAGTTTCTTTATTCCAAATTGTGCTCCCCTATAGTTTTGGGAACAGGCACGACTGTATCTGCCAGATCCGACCTCAAGGGCAGCTCCTCAATGCAAGCAAGGGACGATGAGGGAGTTATGTTTGTGTGTGTGTTTGCTATTTGTCACACACACAGCAAGAGCTGACGTGGTTTCCATAGGGCGCAGTCCAGTGTCAGAGTGACTCAACCTCAGGGCATCATCCATAGCCTATTTGTGGAGGGAAATCAATTTCCCTTTGTGGAGTGAAGCAGTTGTTGCCCTCAACAAATATACCGAATCCCATCAGCCGCCGCCAGTCAGCGCTTTCCCCCCACAACTCCATCAGTTTCTCTACATTCTAAAATGACCCATAAAGAATGTGTCTCTTTTTGAGCTTCTGTTAAAATCATGCATTGAATGAAAGTGTTTAGCCAGGAGAGCACTCACATATTTGGCATTTAATCATCTGTGTGTCCTTTCTACCGCCTTCAGAGCTCAGTTTCCCATCAGCTGCTGCACACAGGAATCGTGATCTGAAAGCGTTAGCCTATGTTGACCTTTTGTTTATTTTTCTTGTTGGATAGCTGTGTGCACTTCTCAGTATTGTATTCTCCCCCCTAGGTATCTAAATGTCACATGTATCGCCTCATTGGAAATGTGAGGATTGTATCTAACCACAAACACCCGAGCTGGCAGGACTTTCACTTCACCACCGAAAGAAGGATGTTAGTGTTAAGGTTACATCTTTACTTGAGCAGTCAACCTTTGAATTATCTGCGTTGTCTGACAGAATATTTCATTAGTTTTTACAAAAGATGTTGCTGGTTATCATCTCTGGATTTGAGGAGGCATGTACATCAGTGTATTTGTACATCTGGGAAGGGCTACATACTTACAATGGGTCTTAAAGGAGTAAAACGGAACCAAAAATCTGTTTAAAAGAAGTAGTTTGGAACTATAACATTATGTATAACTAAAGCTTGTTTGTGTACATATGCTAAAGCATGTTAAATGAACAACTAAATGAATCATAGAAATATGTCCTATGTTTCTTAATATTTTCATAATCTGAAGGTGCGCAGTAGTCGATACCTTTATCCTACACACATTTTAAGTCAGGGTTTTTTTCAATTCAGGAGATATGAAATGTACATTGTATGAAAGCCGTCAACTTTAATATTGAGGTGTACCGCTTTACTGATACAACGCTATTTTTGTCCTCAAGTTTTTGACTAATTGACAGTTAAAGAAAACCTTTCCTGTGTCTTCTCTTCTGTTCCTTTCACCGTGCTCAGTCATCATGGCTGAAGCCCACCAGGCCGTGGCCTTCCAGTTCACGGTCACTCGAGAGGGCATCGATCTGCGGCTGTCCCACCAGGCCTTCACTGAGATCTACCTCTCCGGTGTGCGCTCCTGGAAGAAACGCATCATCGGACTCAAGGTATCTTCACTCTGGCTGACGCACTTGTTTGTACCCTAAAACTGTCTATAATGATCACATAGTTCTCCATGTCATTACTATGTTTGCTTCACTCTTCATGTCAGCACCTGCAGCTCATTGTAGGTTGCTCCTTTGCAAGAATACAGAGAATAAAAGTTACTTGTATTTTATCTCAATAATTGAAATAAACTCAGGCTTTATGCTACAGGGTTGTCTTGAAAAGTTAGTTGATGGAAATGTTGTTAGTTTTGCTTGTATGATCCTATATAAAGGGCACTTCTGAAAAAGACGGCGTACTGATTTTTAAGGATGCATGTGGGTATCCTCAAGTCTTTGTTTGATCACACATTGATTTTTTGGGAGCAATGTGGATAATAATTAAAGGGATTTTTTTTATATGTGAGCATTTCATACCAACTCCTGCTGCAATAGCTTTAAAGTCACAGTTAAATTCAAAGTGGTTAGACGTGTAAGTCAGGTTAGTGTCTGACACTGAGCGAAATGCAGGTAAGACCTAAGCTTGTACGTACTCTTGATCATAACTGCATGTCAGTGTGCTGACTGTAAACAGGAAGAATGGCACTTCAAATCAATCTCTCTCTCCTCTTGTTTACAGAACAGCGTGGTGACGGGCGTTTACCCTGCCAGTCCTTCCTCCTGGCTGTTTGTCGTCATAGCGATTCTGGCTACTATGTACACACGCTCCGACCCCTCCATGGGACTCATAGCCAAGATACAGGAGAACCTGCCCGTCAGGTAACACGTCTCGTGACTTTATGAGATGGGTAATGATTCATCTTCGGCCGCGGACACACAATATTCCCTTTCACTGATTGTACATTGTGTCACAGAGAGATGTACAGTATAGTGTGTGGTTTAAACAGGCCTCCCCGCTTCCCATTGTTCACTAATAGTCTCCTGTAATACATGTATTCTCTTGCTTACACGAGAGGGTTGTATATAGCTATATACATAGGCTGGGCAATATATCTATATTGTATTTATATCATGATGTGAGACTAGATATCAATTTAGATTTGTTATCATAATATAGTTAGTGCTGTATTTCCTTATGTTTAAAGGCTGAAATACTATATAGTATTTACATTTTTGTGATGACTCTGTTAGCTCTTCTATTATTTTCCTCTTACCAATACGTCATTAAAGGGGCCCTATCATGTTCATATTTGTATGTTGTGTCTATACTGTGACATGTTTACATACGTTAATGTTAAAAAAGGTCTTTATTGTTCTCATACTGCCTGTGCTGCAGCACCTCTTTTCACTCTCTGTCTGAAACCAGAGCCTAGTCTGCTCTGATTGGTTAGCTGGCTGGCTCTGTTGTGATTGGTCAACCGCTTAGAGATGGGATTTTAGCCCTTGCAGACCATTTACATGCACAAAAACCCATATAACACATTACCGGAAAGGGAAAACCCCAAACGCAGAATTGGGCCCCATTAAATCCACATTACTGATGATTATTTATCAGAAATCTCATTATGTAAATATTTTGTAAAATGATCAATACAATATCGCCAAAATATCGATATCGAGGAATTTGATCAAAAAGGTAGATTTTTCTTCCGCTCCATCCTTGTTCATCTTAGTTTAAGTTCTATTTGTATTCACTGTTCTTCTTTTGTCCCTCTGTGTATTTGCAGCCAGTCTATGAGTAACCAGTGCCAGACGTTGGTGTCGGCATTGCTCTTCAGCACCATGCTGTGGCTCCTGCTCATCTTCACCATGCGCATGTGCCTCAAGCAGCTGCTCTCCTACCACCGCTGGATGTTCGAGAAGCACGGCAAGATGTCCACCACCACCAAAGTCTGGGTGGTCAGTGCCGCTTCATACCCATTTCAATTTGTTGCTGTTGACTAATTCAGACTTTCACTTTCCTCCAGTTTTGTAAACCGAAGTCTTCAGCCTGTGCTGTTGTTGAAAATACAATAAGTATAGTGTCATGTTTCACGCTCACTGGGAACAAGGTCATCTTGTTCAAGAAATTCTTATTTTATATACATTTTATATTTTATTTTAGATAAACAAGAGGGAAATGTAAATAAGACGGTAAGTAAGCTGTAAAACAAATCATGTAATCACCTTTATAATACCTTTTTTGATGTATTTGTAAAACTGTAATTATTAATTTTTCAACAAAATTAAGACGACATCAAGACAGCAAGGAAAAACTGTAGCCTACTACTGAAGGAGTATACGAAAAAGAAAAAAATGTAATGTTCAAATAAAAAATAAAAACGGTAATAAATTCAAGTGCTTTCTTATGGTTTTGGGAATGTCAAAGTATATAAATATATACGATGTTTAGATATGTAGTACCAACCATGTGTCCCCTGTGTCCTCCCTTTAATATTGTGTGTTTAGCCTCTCTGTTATGGATGTGTTTCTCTGCCAGGCGCTGGTGCGGATCTTCTCTGGCAGGAAGCCGCTGCTCTACAGCTACCAGGGCTCGCTGCCAAACCTTCCTGTGCCGGCCATCAAGGACACAGTGAAGAGGGTGAGGCGTCGCATGAAGCAGAGGAAGTGAAAACACGCTGATAACTGAACATTAAACAGATGGATCCCTCCTCACTATCAGCATCTTCTTCCTCTTTATCATCACATTTCCTTTGTTTATGTCTGGCTCCAAGCTAGTTGAGATATATTTGACAAAATAAGAGATTTTGTGTTAAATAAGCGGAATTAGATGTGTTTGTATTGTTATAAGACTTCCACATTACCAACTGCAGGCTTTCATTTAAAATTCATTGATTTACTAACCTTTTTCTTTTTCCATATTTGTTTTTCTTTATTTTACCTCCTCTGAATGACACTTATTCTTGTTTTCTTTGCACACCTTCTCTGTTCAGCACTTGGAATCGGTGCGTCCTCTGATGGACGACACAGAGTTTGAACGCATGACCCAGCTGGCGTCAGAGTTTGAGAGCAGGCTGGGTAACCGGCTGCAGTGGTACCTCAAACTCAAAGCCCTCTGGGCCACCAACTACGTAAGTGGACCACCGCAGCGTTTAACTGTGACCACTTCAAACGTCACTCAAATGTTCAAAGCAAAGCAGGGAAAAGGACATTTAAAATTCCATTAAAAGTGTATATCTTTGTGAGGCTCTGTGGTTTAAATAATTCATCCTGTCCGAATATGTAAGTGATGTGTTTGCCCGTTGGCTGCAGGATTAGCTTTCTCACCATTTCTTTGTGTTTGAATCCTCCAGGTTAGTGACTGGTGGGAGGAATATGTCTATCTACGTGGACGAAGCCCAATAATGGTCAACAGTAACTATTACGGCATGGTAGGAAAGTCGTTATGTTTTAAGAAAATGTCTAATACAACCTGCTGTTATCACAATGTATATTTGACTCGAATGAAATGGCTTGGTTTTAATAGTCGATTCTGATTGGTCGAGTAAAGCAGCCATACAGTCTGTTATTTTTCAATAGCAGACTGTTGCTATGTACGCAGTTCAATCTCCTGTCAAAGCAAGGGCAACATTTTTTTATTTCTAAATCAATCAATCTTTTGTAAATCAATTATTTGTGTCAAATTAGTGATCTCCTTAGTAGCCCTGTATTAATGCATCCTGCTTTATGACAATAATGATCAGCTCGCAGTACATTGTCCCCTATTTAATGGTGGACATGTTGGCTTTAACAGGTCTAACAAGTTCATTTATTCTGTTTGATGGCATTTAAAATGTTGTGAATCATTTGTGTGTGTTTGTCATGAGGAGAGATGTTAGTCGATATATCTGTGTGTTACTGCTCATTGGACTTTTCATTAAGTCTATATATTTTGGAACTGATTTCTTTGATCAGTTTAAAAAATGTAATTTAAGGAAATGTAGCTGCGAACGTACGACTGCTACTATTGCAAACTGCACCCAACTTCTCAGATGTACTTATGGATCCCTTTTGTTTCAATGAAAGTGATCCGTGTTCATCCTTCTCCTGACTTCCTGTTTCTGTGCCCTCTCTCTCCAGGACTTCATGTACGTGACGCCCACGCCCATCCAGGCGGCTCGGGCCGGCAACAGCCTCAACGCACACTTCCTCTACCGCCGGAAACTCAACAAAGAGGAGCTCAGACCTGTGAGTTTGACCTACAAGTCAACCATTTCTAAGGAGGCGTATAATATTCATGTCTTTTTGCTATTGTAACAGAAACAATGGGATATTTCTTAGCTAAAATATATGATTATTACAATACAGATGTTTGAGAGCATCAGTTTGTGTTTTGAATGTGTGAGTTACATCCATTCATGGCAGTTTGTGTGTATGCCTGTTAATGATAAGAAAGTGTGTGCATCTCCATTTATTTGTTTAGCTTTTGTGGAGACATTTCCCTCATGTTCTCATACCATGCTCATCTCTCCCCCCCTTCCTTTTGTACTCCTTTCACTCGCTTGATTCCTCTTCATCTACTTCCCTTGTTTCCTCTTTTTTCGCTCGATTCTACGTTCCCTCCTCTGCTCTCGCCTCTCCGTTTCCCAGACCCGCATACCAGGCACTGTCATTCCCCTGTGTTCAGCTCAGTGTGAGAGGCTTTTCAACAGCACACGCATTCCTGGAGAGGAGACCGGTAAAGAGACTGACATGCACATCACGTTTCTCGCTGTGCTGATATGTGATACAGTCGGAACTCGTAGCTTCTAAAAAATGCCAAAACACCGCTGCCTCAGAGCGGATGAGGCGAACTGAAGGTGTCTGAGCCCTCTGGAGTTTAAGCGTGGGATAGAAAATAGGACTGTGTGTGTGTGTGTGATAATATGATGTCTGCTGCAGAGGCCGTCCTGTCTTCTCTCCTCTCGCCTGCTGCTCTCATCATCTGGGTTTCTGTCTCTAACTAATATCTCTTTTCTTCTGCCCACATATTTTCTTTTCTCACCTTTTTCTTCCTCACCCTGTTCACTTTCTGTTGCATCCCAACACTCCTGTCTTTTCTTCCTTTCTTCTTGCACCGGGCCTTCCTTCTTTTCCCCGCTCAGTTGATGATGAGGTCTGCAGTTCCTTGCTGTTCCTATCAATTTGAGCAGATGTTTGCCACTTGTCGAATCCCTGGAAGACTAACAGGTAGTATTTATAATTTTACACAACTGGCCCAATCATATTTTAACCAATATAATAACACTGGAAATGTGCTTGAGATTTTCAAGATGATCAGTCAAGTAGAGTCAGATCACACGACATCTCTCGACAAAACACAAGCACATTGTCCATGTAGTATATTTATGTACTTATTTTTGTGTGTCATTTTATCTAAATAATGTCACCAAGACATGTTGCCGATACAGTTGTTGAGTGCTGCATTTCCAGCAAAAACTGAAGACTAATGTCAGAAAATGCAATGCCAGTAGGACAGAGAAAATGCCCCCAAAAATAAACTAAAATACAGATAAATAATTAATTAAACTTAATTTTGTGTATTTCTGATACATTATGTGACATGCTTCTATTAACCATATATGTATTTCCTTTTATGTGCGAAGACACCGTGCAGCATTGGCAGGACAGTGACTACATCGCGGTGTACCACAGCGGGCGCTACTTCCGGCTCAGGATGTACCAGGCAGGCCGGCTCCTGTCGCCCCGGGAGATCGAAACCCAAATTCAGAGGATCCTGGATGACCCCTCAGCTCCTTCAACAGGAGAGGCCAAACTGGGGGCCCTGACTGCTGGAGACAGGTCAGTTTGAGAAGCCACCGGAGATCATATCACATGGAAAACACAGCGCTCTGCATCCCTCATGTCTTACCATCATCTCTTCCCTCCCAGAATTCCATGGGCCGAAGCCAGGACGAAGTATTTCAGCAGCGGGGTGAACAAACGCTCTCTGGACTGCATAGAGAAAGCCGCTTTCTTTGTGTCCCTGGATGACGAGGAGCAGGGCGTGGTCGCAGACGACCCGGCTAGTTTAGATGCATACGCCAAATCCCTGTTGCATGGGAAATGTTATGACAGGTCATTTTACACCTCATTAATCACTGTCCTGTGAACGTGTAATAAGTTCGGTTTTCCTTTAACGTTATGTTGTTTTATCTTCATTGACATGCAGGTGGTTTGACAAATCCTTCACAGTTATTTTCTACAAGAATGGAAAAATGGGCGTGAATGGAGAGCACTCGTGGGCCGATGCTCCGGTGTTGTCACACTTATGGCAGGTGAGGAACATGAGAGAAAAGTCCTCACTGTTTTCTTTCTGAGAGGTCATCACTTATTGTTATTTATTGTTTGTTTCCAGCAAACGTTGTCCACTGACTGCTTCCAGCTCGGTTACAATGCAGAGGGTCACTGCAAAGGAGAGGTGGACTCATCTCTCCCCCCACCACAGAAGCTCAGCTGGGAAATCCCTCCAGAGGTGAGTCATCCAGTCACACACTTCACTTACTTCCTTTAGTTTTTAGCTTCAGAAAACAGGCTCCTGCTCCTGTGTTGGCAGCAACCCCTATAAGCTTTTTATGCATGCATCAAAAGGTCTGTCTGAAATGATAATGCTTAAATTATCAAATCAAAATCACTGCTAATTAGATTATTCTAACAGCTGCCTAATTTACCTAAACAATAAGGCAATTTCTCATTGTTTTACCCTTATATTGAATTTTGATAAGGTGTTTTCAAGGAATTATAACTGCGCAATTGCTTTGAATGTATTTTTTATTATATATTTTAGGTTTTGTTGTTTATTTATGTAGTTATACCTTTTGATATGTTGTATTTATCAGGATGCATCGGTTTAATTCTGTATTTTTATCTGTTTTAAGTGTAATTTTGTTTATTGTTTCATTTTGATAATTGGTGACTTGTGTCACGTTTTGGTTAATAAATGTATTTTTTTTAAAAATGGTTTTAAACACAAATATAAAAATGTTCTAAAACAAATATAGCACAATAGTTTTTATACATATATTTCATGTTTATGAAATTTTAAAAGCGGTGAAATGCTGCCAATTACTTGAAGTAACAACATGGACATTGTCTTTGCTTATCAGGGGATACAACATTATTTTGAAAGCACACTGAGTGCAGTGGTGTCAGTATCTCCGTCCTGTTGATGTAAATGTCTGCCTGTGTGTCTCAGTGTGAGGAGCAGATCTCACAGTCTCTGGCTGTGGCCCAGGCCCTCGCTGACGATGTGGATATTCACGTTTTTGCCTACCAAGAATTTGGCAAAGGGAGGATCAAGAAGTGCCGAGTCAGTCCAGATGCCTTCATCCAGATGGTTCTGCAGCTGGCCTACTACAGGGTGAGCCTCCCTCTGAAGTGCTGTGGACTACATTACATTTAATGTGCCACCGTCAACTTTATCTGTGAATTTTGTTTTGTCTTTCCAGGACCAGAGGAGATTCTGTTTGACATACGAAGCCTCCATGACCCGTCTGTTTAAGGAGGGCAGGACGGAGACGGTGCGCTCCTGCTCCAACGAGAGCAGTGCCTTTGTCCGAGCGCTTGAGAATGGAGAGGTGAGACCATGGAAACTGTCTCTTTGATATCATTATTTTATACAGTGTGAGAAAAGCATTTTATAAAATGTCAAATATAGGACCTGTTTGAGTGTGAATTGCTATTTTCCTCGCATAAATCATACCGTTTCTATGCAAAGCAGTCATGCCGCTCTTGCCTTTCCCCTCCAGCCGGCGCATGTGTGCAGGCGTTTGTTCCAGGAAGCGTCAGAAAAGCACCAGAATCTGTATCGCCTGGCTATGACTGGATCTGGCATCGACAGACATCTGTTCTGCCTCTATGTGGTGTCCAAATACCTCGGAGTGGAGTCTCCCTTCTTGAAAGAGGTTCAATTCTCCCCTCTGGCATTTTCATATTTATAACGAGTTCAGTTCATTATTCAATTTGATATCTACGTGTTTCAGGTCCTGTCCGAGCCCTGGCGGCTGTCCACCAGTCAGTCTCCGATGCACGTGGAGATGTTTGACATCGTCAACCACCCAGAGTACGTCTCCTGTGGAGGGGGCTTTGGACCGGTCAGTGCTTCTCTCACAAAGTTACTAAACTGTTTGATGGTTGTCCTGGAAACAATAGATAAACAGGGCTGTACCAAATAGCTTCAAATGTCATCAAAATATTGACAAATGCAAATTATTTCTTTTTTTTAAACCCTGTATTTCTGCTACACTGACCCGTGTATGACCACAATAACAAAAAACTAAAATTCCAGTGATGATTGAAAGATCATAATAAGCTTTATTAAAAAACACTTGGTACAGCCCTAGAAATAAACTTACAATTGCTATGCCATTTTTCTGGTTTTATTTACTAGTCTTTTCCTTTTATTTCAGTCTTGGACCTGTAAAATAAAACATGCCAACATTTTTAGTACTTATTTTCTTTCTCATATTAACCGATACAATCCAGCTACTTTTTTGAATGAAAGTGGCTCTGTGTTCTTGTACTCATTAAGCAGCCACAAGTATAAATATAGTGTTTATCTCTTTCAGGTGGCTGATGACGGTTATGGGGTGTCCTACTCCTTTATGGGGGATAACATATTGAACTTCCACATCTCGTGCAAGCACTCGTGTCCAGAAACTGTGAGTTCAATAAAAGTGATGCAATACAATAAACAGAAACTGCTCTACATATTTAAGTTTAAAGGGGACCTTTCATGCAAAATGCTCTTTTTGATGTCTTTTATACATAAATAAGCATATGTGTATGTATACTCACGCAGCGTCAGAAAATAAAACCCTCTCTCTTTTCCTCCGTACCCAAATCTATAAAAACGGTGGTACAACGGAGCTGATCCAGATTTGCGTCCGATATGACGTAATATCGGAAATGTGGACGCACAGCCCTATCAGAAACGTTGCTATCAGAAACAATGCCCGACAGTTTTGGACGTAATATGGTCTTTGTTTACATTAGCAAGCATCGCTAACACTCAGAGCTAACCTGTACTGGAGAGAATATGTATAACAAAAAGTAGGAAATAAAAAAAAGGAACTCACCTTGTGGTAAACCCGCAAGAGAAAAAGCATTTGAGTAAAACACATCATCGATATGTTTTTTACATATTTGTATATATCTGAGACCCATAATACATGCATTTTTTTAAAGAGCATAATAGGAGACCTGTAAATATTGCTTTTATTGATAAAAAAATCTACTTTTATGCAGAATAGGATTTAAAATACTTGAGATATGACTAATTGTTTTGAGCACAGCTTTTTTTAACGCCCAGGGTAGTAACGTTTTTGAGATGTACAGATGAATACAGGTGACATCAGATCTTATTGGATGAGGTTGTGTGAAATGCTAATTCTCATTTGGTCTATATCTGCCCTCCAGGATGCACATAAGTTTGGCGATCAGATCAGAACAGCGCTGCAGGACCTGCTCCAGCTGCTGAGCCCCATCCGAACAGAGTGCCACAGGGCGGAGGGGGGGCGGCCCGACGTGAAGAAACACCTGTAGGCGAGACTCAGGGCAAAGGGAAGTAGAAGGAAAAGTCTGCAAGCATAACATTAGGAAGTGAGGAAAGATGTGTATTTTTTTCCTCATGAATTAGGAGAATTTTATAGCCAGATGATATTCAAGGGACACTTCCATTGGGGAACTGATCAAGTGGAGGAGATGTTTTTACTTATGTGTGTAAATAAGCTCTGATAGGTGTGTGAGGAGGGAAAAAGTCCGTAGATTAACAAATGAAGAGTACAGTATGTTTTTTTAATTTGTTATAACAACAAAACTATTAGAAGTTGTTTTTGTGACATGTTATAAAAAGGCCATTATGAATCGCACCACTAACTGTTAGGGTAGAAATCCCTAACGCGTATTAATTGCAGGGAGTAATTTCATATAAAGTCAAAGATTGCCACTTTTTGTGCCACTTCATTTTCTGTCGTCGAATTTGTTGCGTGTGATGCATCTCACCGCAGTATAGACTCAGTTTCAACCGCCCGAATGCATCATCGCTGTAGCAGTGACACCACACACTTTAACATCTCGGAGGTCTGTGACTTCTCAGTGTTAACTCATTATGTATTTAATAATACTTTTTCTACAAAAACATGATTGTAATGCGTTGCTGGGAATGCCAGGTGGTGAAATAACAAATCCACAGGTTGGCATTACTGTTTGACTGGTATTATATTCAGGAAATAACTCTTATTTTATGTTTTCACACATTCAAAATGTACAAAATATAAAGGTCAGTTTGCTCTCATCGCTCAGTTGGTTAAAGACTCTACTGTAACAAACTCCAGATATTTCACTGCCACCTTAAATCTGTTTTGTATTTTGTTTTTACCACTGTATTATTACGGAAGCACCATAACAGTACAAGCTATATTTATGTACATCATATGCAGGTATTTAGTCTCGAGTCATTTTTCATCGAGTGTTGCCTTTTCACTCGAGCTTGTCTCGCTGTATTACTATTGTCAGCCTTTTTAATGCAATATAACGGGAGAACATAAAGTTATTCATAAAGAAAAAAAGTTTGAAGTGTTTGTTTTTGTTGCCTTAACCCTCCTGTTGTGTTTGTTCCCCCCCCCCCCCTTACTTTGGTGTTCCCAGTCAAATTTCCTGTTTTAAATGCTCTTACATTAAAATAAAAAAAAACATGAATCATCACCAAATGTTATTTAACACCCTTTCAAACTGTAAACAATGTATCAGACTACTGCTAAACATGAACAACTGCAGTAAATATACAAATAATACACACTGAACATGTATCGATATGTATTTTTAACATTTATTGTAAAAAAAAAAAGCATTCAAAACGGAGACAAAATTCAAACACCATTAGAACATCAACAAGAATAGTCGTGTGTGTGTCTGGCAGCCAGGTGTGGTTCACATAGGAGGGAGGAAGGGTGTTCTTCAGTTGCCTCTTCCTCAGTGGACTCTTCCTCGCCATCTCAAAAGGGTCTGGATCAAAATCAGGATTGATATTGTCTTCCATTTCTGAGACATCAAACTCTATTTCGGGAGTAAAATGAGAACAAGCCAGGCAACAATAAAATGATATATGATACATTGTTTAGTCTGCCAGGTGCAAGGGCGCCGGAAGCGGGGGGGCCAGGGAACCATTGGCCCCCCCACTTTTCAGCCCTGCCCCACATTTTCGCAGCAGCAGATTTTCTTTTTTCTTTTTTTTTTTCTTTTCAGTCTTTATTTCGAACAGATTCAAAAATAACAAATAAAAAATAACAAATGTGAAAAACAGAATACCGTATTGTTATAATACAGTATTTATCCACATTCATGGTAATATTTGTATATTCAACAAAAAAAACAAAAAAAGTCTTCATATTAATAATAATAATAAATCATATGTGTCCGAAAGGGAGCAGGAGGAAGCAAATGCTTATTAATTCCCACCCCTTACTTGATCAATGATTGTCCTTTAAATCATTATGCAAGTTATTCCTACTTAGATTTACATTTATACATATACAATCACTTCTCATCTTCAATCACCTTTCTTCATTCTCATATTTTTCCAAAAAGTGTTTCTGTACATCCTTTTAAACTGAACTATGCTTGTGCTTTGTTTTAACTCCTGCTCCAAACCATTCCATAAAATCACCCCACAGATTGTTAAACTCATACTTCTCAGAGTTGTTCTGACCTTGAGTTGTTTAAAATGTAGATTTCCTCTCAAATTATACCCACCCTCTCTGTCTACGAACAATGTTTTTAATTTCCTAGGAAGTAGATTATGTCTGGCTCTGTACATGATTTGTGCCGTTTTAAATTTAACCAGATCAATGAACTTCAATATGTGTGACTTCAAAAATAATACATTAGTGTGTTCAAGATATCCAACATTATTAATAACTCTTATAGCCCTTTTCTGTAATGTGCATAACGGCTGTAGGTTGGTTTTGTACGTGTTTCCCCAAATCTCCACACAGTAAATCAGATATGGCAATATTAGTGTGTTATATAGAGTATGCAATGAGTTCCAGAATGTATCTGGCTTTTCCCAATATTGCGATAGTTTTAGCCAGTTTTGCTTTTACATGAGTGATATGAGGTTTCCAGCTGATTTTGTGGTCTAACACCACACCAAGGAACTTCATTTCATATACTCTTTCTATGTGTATGTTATCTAGTATTAATTGTATCTGTGGATTTGTTTTATGTTTTAAACAAATTCAACAAATTGTTGTCTGTTGCTTAAATAATCTCTCACCCAGTTTAATCCCACCCCTCTGATGCCATACCGTTCCAGTTTTATCAGTAAAATATTGTGATCTATGGTGTCAAATGCTTTTTGTAAGTCTATAAATATTCCCACTGCTTGTTTTTTATTGTCCATGCAGTTTGCTATTTCCTCACTTAATTCCATTAGTGCCATAGATGTTGATCTATCTTTCCTGAATCCATATTGACTGTCGTCCAAAAGCTGATGTGTTTCCATGAAACTGTGCCGCGGAAAACTGTACAAATCCCGTTTCAATAATTCCCCTCTACTCTAAAGTCGCATCTAAAACGTGATCTGATCTAGCTGTGTATATTTTGTTATTTTTGATTGTTATATTCAATCTCACTAGCTACAGGCATGTTTAAGCTTGTAAAGGGAAGATGACAGCTCTCGCCACTCTGCTGTTCCTCAGCGCCGCCCCCCCTCCCTCCCGCTGAAATTATGAATGTAAGAGTATAGTAATCATAGATAACACGGCAGGGTCCGTTACAGTTTGTTTTTTATCTGATTTCAAATAAGCAAAGTCTTGGGTTTCAGAATATTAAACTTGTTTCGGCAAATTCAGATGATAAATAGGCCTACAACTTTGAAGCTTGTGACGGCATAATTACAAGCGGAGAACGGAGTAGTTTAACGTCACAGCAGCCATAACAACAGCCGGTGTTTCTCGTGAGTGCAGTAATCCAAACGAAAATATCTTCCCTCCGTAGTGTTTTGATCATTTGCTCCGCTAATAATCAATCATGATGATTGATGATGAGAAATGATGGATTCCAGAGAAGAGAAAACTTTAAAGGCCTTTTTCTCAAAATGATGACTCTGTAACAGTCATTATATAATGTGACATATTTTGCTTAATATTTGGAGTACAAAAACAATCCTGATATCATTAGAAAGCTAGGAATCAAAATATGTCTTCGGATCAATGCGACTGATTTCGATGGAGCAGCAGGTAACTTTGCATTAGGTAAAATAAAGCAGGCAGACATAACAGGAAGAATATGTAAATGTTAACCCAATCAAATAGGACATTGTCACACCATTCAAATGTATCCATGTAAATTACAACCAATAAAAAAGCTTAGATTTGTTTATTTGTTACGTTGTTTACTTTATTTGTTACGTTTTTCTGTGTGTGTCAGCCGTTAACCTAGAAATAATATATACACTTGCAAACATGTCAGAAGAACCAGCGCAGAAGAAAACTAAATGTGACCCGCTCTATCGAAATCAGTCGGAAGTCGCAACGGCTCATTTCAGAATAAACGTGGATTTACGTAAAAAACTATTTTTTCAGGGTTCGGGTGTTTTGTTTGATTTTAAACAAACAAAGTCTTGGCTTTCAGAATATGAAACTTTTATTTCCAAAATCACACGATAAATACATTTTTGAAGCTTGTAAAGGGATGAAGACAGGCACCTCTCACTCGCAATCTGCTCTTCCGCAGCGCCGCCCCCCTCCCTCCGCTGAAATTATGAATGTAAGAGTATAGTAATCATAGATAACACGGCAGGGTCCGTTACAGTTTGTTTTCATCTGATTTTAATTAAACAAAGTCTTGGCTTTCAGAATATTAAACTTGTTTCGGCAAATTCAGATGATAAATACAGCTTTGAAGCTTCGGCATAATTACAAGCGGAGAACGGAGTAACTTAACGTCACAGCAGAAATAACAACAGCCGGTGTTTCTCGTGAGTGTTTTCCCCGGGAAACAAACACAATACACACAAACACACACAAACACACACACACACACACACACACACACACACACACACACACACACACACACACACACACACACACACACACACACACACACACACACACACACAAACACACACACACACACACACTCGCGAGCTTCCCCTCCAAACGAAAATATCTTCCCTCCGTAGTATTTTGATCATTTGCTCCACTAATAATCAATCAGATCGATGGATTCCAGAGAAGAGGAAACTTTTAAGGCCTTTTTCTCAAAATGATGACTCGGTGACAGTCATTATATAATGTGACATATTTCGCTTAATATTTGGAGAACAACAACAATCCTGATATCATTAGAAAGCTAGGAATATCCTCTTTCCAACAGTGTATACAACTCAAAATGTGTCTTCGGGTCAATGCGACTGATTTCGATGGAGCAGGTCACAAATACAGTCAATCTAAACTTAAATGTAACAACTGGAAGGTCACATCCCTGACATCCACATCTCCGGAGCCTGGACCTTCATCAATCATAGAAGCAGCGAAGCCAGATGAACCCAAAAGCAGCACCTCTGCGCCCGCAGAAACTGTCAAAACCGCCGCCGCCCCCACCGCCGCCGTCGTTGAACCGAAACAGGCTGGTTCCGACTGCATGGAGGTTTGTTGTTGGGACATTGAGGCGGGTAAAGCTGTAGAGCTAACTATCGGAAAAAAGGAGACCGCTAGTAGATTATTTGAGCAAAGAGAAGGTACTTCAACGCAGAATGGTACAAAAACAGAGAGTGGTTCATTCTTTGCAAACCCACTAAACGATAGTGATAAATTGCGATGTTAACAACCTCATGATAACCTCATATTTTTTTAACTTAGGATCATACCTGTGTTTAGTCTAGAAAAAGGTAAATGTGTGCATTTTATTATAAAGTTGTGTATATTTACAGACTATTGCAAAAACTAAGAAGCTTATAAACATCAGGTTTTAAAACTAAAAGAGCTTTACAAAAAAGTAACCAAAGATGTTTGGAGTTTTATTTGAGTTATTCATTTACATTTTTTGTCTAAGAGATGCTGATTTGAAACCGTTGTTAGGCCTACATACAGTTATGCATTTCCTGTTTCTGCCAGAGAGAGGGGAGTTTGTCCCAAAGCTTGCTGCTGTATTTACTCCCTCCATCTGACAGGAGGAGCCTCATGTGTCACTCCACGGAGTTCACTCCGTCACGGAGGGTGTGTGTGTAGGTGTAGGGCGTGGTTTGGGATTGGGCCATACACACGCACTTTTTTTGGCCCCCCCACTTCTAAAATGAATCCGGCGCGCCTGGCCAGGTGTGGTTCACGTGGGGGGATGGGCCCATAGAGAGGGAAACACATCAAATTGTTGTGTGAGCTGTAAGTTCAGAACTAATCTTTTTGATAAGGGTCCCCCTTATTATAATTTTTTATATAAGGGGGGACCCTAATTATTTTTAGTAGAGTAAAGAAATTATTATTGGGCAACACAGCAGGATAATTAAGGCTTCCCCAATAAATAACGGAAAAGCCACAAGCCTTTAGAATCAACTGAAATATGACATATGCATAAATATTCCTTTATTGGCTAAACCCTAACTCCACAGGCATTTCAAAAAGATTCAGTCAAGATTGTATTTCCTTTACACACATAACTCAAATAGTTATGAAAAAGATATGATGTGAAGTTGTCAAAAAAGTAAAATTGTATATAAGGGGGGACCCTTATAAAAAAAAAAATCTTGTTTGGAACTGCAGGTCATTTCACAATATCCTCTTCTTCATTAGTTTTCTTTTTCTGTTTTTCCTGGAAAATCTTCCCATCTTGGACTCTCCACTGAAGGTCGAGTCCCTGGAACTTCAGTTGGAGCTATTTAAGCAAGAGAAGATAAATACACTCCTTTATAAAAAAAATAAGCTCTTCATGATGTTGTTATGACATTGTAAAGATAAAAACGTACTTCCTGCAAAATGGCATTGGACACAGCTTCGTCATTGAGGTCTAAGGACGGATCTGACTTCATTTCCACCCTCACAATCTTCACATGTTTTATTTTTACGTCTAAACAAAAAATACATCAGTAAATGTACTTCACCACATTCCACCACTGACTTTAAGTTTGCTTTCAATTACTTTGGCATTTAGATATAGGCAATGTACTTGATATAATATAAGTAATGCTCACCCTCATAGCAGTAGAAAGGATATTTGACAGTACAGCTTCTGTCCCACCAGTTCTTGGAAGAGATCCTTATCAATGTACAGGAATCAGAATCCGGCTGACCTGGAGCCCATTGTCTGAAAGAACTGTTACTCTGATCCGACCATTGCCACTCATCTCTGAACAGACCGAACCACACCGAGGACAGTGATGAGCTACTCATTATTTGCTGTAATTCATCGTTTTCAGTCTCGTTCCTTGCACTGGCCAAGTCAAAATAATTCAGTCTACAGTATGTTTGGGCGTCCCTCCAATTCTTCTCTTCAAGAACGACATGCATCCTACCTGACGTCTCCCCTGTGAATATTGCAAAAATGCAATGTAAGATCAAAATGTTCCAAGAGAATAGGAAAAACACACATGCTTAATTTGGTTTTTCAGGTTTTTGCAAAAATGCACTTCATGCACTTAAACACATACTCGAGTCATTAGTCTTGCCCTTTCATAAAGAATTGCCCTTTCCAATTATCTAGATAAAAGCAGCTGAGCTGAGGCTTAAGTTTTTGATAAGTCTCAATCAAAATATGCTGCATTTCCTAATGTGGGCTTACTATGCATCATTTATCTCGTAAAACAGAAAAATACAGAGCAAGGCTAAATACATCCATGTTTCCAGTCTTAAAGGGCCCATGTCATGCTTTTCCGGTTATTACCCGTCCCCTTGAAGGTTTTTATGCATGTAAACGGTCTGCAGAGTCAAACTACCCCCTGTTGCGAGTAAAACTCTAACACAGAAAAGACCTCCCCAAAACGCCTCATTGGAGATTTCTCATTTTCCATTGTTTACTTCCTGGGTACTGTGACGTGTGAATACCCAGAGGCCACACCCTCTGCCAGCCTTTCACGAAACAAAGCTTCCCAACTCTTTCAGCGATTCATGCCGGATATGTACAGCAGAGGGCACTGAAGAACGATGCTGTTCCTACTTTGTTTGGACCAGCGGGAGATTCGGGTACACAACCTGTAAGTATTCATTGTGGTTTGTGTATTTAGGTATCTACCACGACTGTTTAAATGGGTAAACGTTTTTCGGGCTGCTAAGTTGGGATCGCGGAGAAATGCTCTCCGCAGACCCATTCTCACAGCGTTAAACCTTTTTCTTACTCAATATCAAGCCACACTTATTGTTTTTGCTGTGAGTGTTTGTGTGTGCTCAGGATGAGTTTCGCTTGTTCTCGCTGTATTGCCGACCCGGAAGCCTGTCCGCTCCTCGCAGCAGATCACAGCAACGAGCCTCGCAACGTCCTGACCAATCAGAGGACACTGGGCTCACAGGGAGGGGGGCAGGAGCTCCAACAAGCCGTTTAGGACAGAGAGTGAATACCGGTGAATACACATACTTTACAGAGATGCTGTATGAGAAACCAATGTGAGTTTGGAAAATTGCACAGTATAAATCTATTTTAGTATACCTCAACAATGGAATTATGATCAGTAGAAATGGCCATGACATGGGACCTTTAATGCTAAGCAAATTACCAAATTCTCATCAAGAAAAAAATCCCTGTTACCTACCTCCATGACACACAAAGGGACGAATAGTATTACAGAGTCCACCGAACCATTTCCCATCACCCCCCATGCCTCCGCAGTGGTGAGAGGAGGCAGGTGAAGTGGCCCAGTTACTGTATCCGGCTGATCTGGTTTTTTCTCCAACTGACCACGACCAAGTCCCCATGCCGGTCTTTTTCAGACCAATCCAGATTTCTGATGGCACATTGATGCCGTTTGTTAGTTTGATCAATGTCTCCATGTCGTCATGACTGCGAATGGTAACAAGGTCAGTGAAGTACTCTCTGCAGTACGTCTGGGCATCCTCCCATCCCTTTACATCTTTCATCAAGTGATACTGTCCTACAACTTCTGAACACAAAGTGAATGAACCTGCAAAAGGACACCAAACAACACAATAAATAAAGCCATCGTCATTATTACAGCACTGTGTTTTTAATCTCAGCATTAACACAAAGACACTTACTTGAAGCAAGGAGCAAAATCACCAATTGCAGCATTTTTCTCTCCCTAGGATACAAAAGAATAAAAAGGCAAAGAAAAAATTCCTATCTCCAATGCTTGTTGTACAATTATTTTTGAGACATTGTCCCTAAATTTCATTTGAAAACAGTGAGTAAATACTCAGCTCAGACCAAGCTTTTTTAAAGAACTATGTTCATTGAGTTAAATAAATACTTAGCAGTACCAAACAATAATATAGATATTGAAATCCATGCTATCCATAGTAGTAGGAAAAAGGAACTGATTGTTGAAAGGCTTTGACAATCTGCAACTCAGTTTTAAAAATATTTACGCCACCAACTCTTTTTAGTTGCCACAAAACACATTTGAAGATATTTAGTCCAAAACTATATCAGATTACATGAATGTTTCCTAATATCCAAATAGATCTTCTCACCTGATGCACAGATCTTTCCATGTGAGAGATAAAGGCACTCCTGCAGTTGTCACTCAATCTCCCTCTCGCTCTCCAATAATTTGTTTGAGTCGTCCCATTTCCTTTATATTTGTCTTTATGGAAATGCTGTTTGAGTTTCACCACTGCATGGACTTATTTGTATTTCACAAACATACCTGTAAGAAGCAAGTGTAGTAAACAGCGTATGTGTTTTACATTCTCTGTCTATAGTTCTTTTTTTCTTTTTTCTTTGTAAAGCTAATGGTTTATTACCAAGCGAGAGTGTGAAGATTCATGTTAAATACTATACTGCAGAGGTTTACTTTAAAGAGGCCCTTATGCCATTTGGGTTTTCCCTTTCCTGTAGTGTGTTATATAGGTTTTGCATGTAAATGGCCTGCAAAAGCTAAAATCCCAAAGTTCCTTCCAGAGGGGGGGGGGGGGGGGGGGGGGGGACTTGTACAAATGTACAAGTCCCATTAATTCACCGGTATCAGTATGTTGTTACTTCGGCATCATTTTGAAACATGTATTACAATTAAATCACTGTCAAATATGTTCATCTTGTTGTAGTTGTGTAGCCCCCTTTCCAGCAATTCTCTCTCTAGTTTAGCATACTCAGCCGACTCAGCCTGGTTGTTGGCCCGGAAAGAACCTCGATTTTATGGGGCCAGAAAAACTGTGAAATAGTACCTGCTAGCCGGTACTACGCCAAGTGGAAGCGCAACCAAAAACGGGCCCCGCACGGCTCGGCGCGCTTAAAGTGAGCTCCGCGCTGTAGTGGAAATGCGCCAATAGTGGCATTACTATGTAACACTTGGGCTTCTATTGGCCGGCGCTCCAACACATTGTACGTGATAGGCTAAAGGTCGGGACATCTCTAAGCGGTTGACCAATCACAACAGAGCCGGCCAGCTAACCAATCAGAGCAGACTGGGCTCTGGTTTCAGACAGAGGGTGAAAAGAGGTGCTGCAGCACAGGCAGTATGAGAAAAATAAAGAGCTTTTTGAACATTAAAGGTGGGGTAGGTAATTTTGGAGAAACCAGCTCGAGTGCGCTAGAATTTGAAAATACACAGCCGGAGATAATCTGCCCCTTCCTTACAGAGCCCCTCCTCCAACACACATGGAAGGCTGACAGGCAGGTAGGCCATCCAGTTATTTTAGTTTAAATACTAATATGAACCTTAAGATGAGCATAATTATGGCCCCTTTAAAAAAAGTAGCAATACTAAAGAGTACAAATATTGCATTCAAGAATGCAGTCAAGTAAACATACAACACTTGAGTAAAAAAATACTCACTATGCAGTATGGAACATTTAAGAATATCATATATATTACATTGTTGTATTATGTAATTATGTTTTCCACACTTTAATGTTCTATCTCTTTTTATGTCCTGCCACCTGTCTCTGTGGCTTGTTTCAGCTGTGAGGTCAGCAACAAACCCCTCGCTCATTATCCGGCCACAGACTTTATTTTATGCTCACAAAAGCTGCCAATAATCCACACACAGTCCCCTGGCCTTCTTTTCTAAGTCTTGCCTCACACACAGACACGTTTTATGCCTAGTCACCTCTCCATCATCACCCCAGAGAGCCCCTTATATAAAGCTGTGTCTCCCCTCTAGTTTTACTGCCTGTATTTTTGTCTTCCGGGAAACATCCCTCTATTTTGCTGTTCAGGTATGTGCTTTGAGTTTCTTCTTCTTTGATATTTGAAAAATATGTCACCATCTAGAGGCAGGGGATATTTTTCAGTAAGTCAAAAAGTGTTAGAAAAAGTATACAATATTTAAAATAATAATAATCTGGCAAAATCTTTAATTAGTACAAATATACTATGTTGTTGTACAATTTCCTGTAAACGTGCACACCATTGGATCTCATAATATTATATTGACAGTGATTTTCGTTTGAAATGTAAATTGTTGTTTGATGAATTTCAAGGATGTGAAATGAATTGGTTGAATATGTTTCTTTAAAGATAATGATATTATAAATATATTTTATAATAAAAATTGATCAATCAACTCTATAATGCTAGGAGTGTTGGGCATAGTGATACACCCTTGATAACATTTAACTTAAGATACAGTTCCTCTTAACACTACAGTGCTATTCTTCTTCTTTCAGCTCTTTGTTTAGATTTTTTTTGGTTTGCACATTTAAAAAATATATAAAAAACCTGCCGGGCTAATGGAGAGACAGACGAAGTTGGCAACAGTTTTTAGCTGCTGAACAAAGTGGTGCAATAAGCAGCTTAAAAGCCAGATATTCTCCACAAGTAGAGGCCAACATCAGTGTGAAAAGAAGAATGAATATTGGATTAACATAAGCAGGTGCCCGGAAAAAGCAAATTCAAATGAATGTTATTGTTGCGTGGTTTTATGTAGATGTAAATGGCAGCTCTTTGCTTTAGTTTTCAATTATAACTTAAAATGTACTGTTTTATTAGTAGTTACAGCTCTTTCCTGCCGTGTAAAAAACCCTGAAATTGCACTTATTACATTTAATCCATAGCAAATAAATAATTGATTGAATCAAGATGCTTTAAAATGTTTCAAACCGATTTTAATGGCTGATGACTTAGTCTAAACACTGTCCTTCTCAGATTTGTTTTATCGTACATTGTCACATTGTTTGGATTTCCAATGAATACAAATACAATCCAGGATGTTGATTAAGCTGTATGATATCTCTAAAATTAGGAATGATCCCTTATATCATTCTTAGTGCCCTTGGCCTCTCTATCCGTCCGGTCGGTCAGTTTGGACAGAAACCTCCAACAGTCAAGCGATATGTGGAATTCCTCTCCCAATCCCTCATCTCAGTCATCTGCCTTTGTCCATGAGCCCGTGTTTATTCAGATTCACATGCTCATGCTCTGAGATCTTTAAAACTAACCATGAAGGGATCAGTGAGATTTGCGCGGCCTTAGTGCTTGATCTAGTTAATTCACTCAAAGACTGACAGTGAGTCTGGTATGTTATGAATATTGTGCTATTGCTGGTGTGTTAACTAGACACCCATTTTTCTGTTTTGGTTTGATTCATCCGACTGAAATACACAGATAGGCTGCTAAAATAATGGCTAGGAATATTAAAATACTCATGGGGCTAAACACACATCTAAATATCCCATCAATTCAGTCAGACTGCGACTAGATCCAATGATAATAGAGGATTGGCTGGTGTTAATAGCAGTCAGCCGACCAGCTTAATCTCTTCATCCCACATTCTATCTTGTAAATCAAATTAAACAAAAAGGATTGGCCAGCTGATACCAAACTCTTATCCTGGGTAACAGGACACTGCTCCGGACTACAGTCACTCTGACCTCTTCTATTCCTAGACCATTAGCTACAAATGGCCGTCCCCTTTATCTTATGCTTAGAACAAAAGCACCAACCTGTGTTGAAAGTGTAATGCATCTACACTGGCCTTCAGGACACATGAGCTTTGATAAGCACAGCCATCACAAGTGGCAAGCAAACATATAGATTATCTGCTTTTTATATATATTTGTTATGTGTGCTTAGTCAAAGGTTCAATTTGAATACCATATATGTTTAGAGTGTAACTTTTGACGCAGAGAGAGTGGCCACAAGTTACTAAATAATAGCACAATTAATGTTGAGAAACAATATCACAAAAACAAAAGAGACATTTAGTTCAGCAAACGGATCCAGAAAATCACAGTTACACAGCAATATCTACAGCATCTAAAGCTAGCTAACGTTAGCCACGATAAGCTACTTGTCACAACAGAACAAATAAAGCTTTAGCAGCAAAACACTTTTGTAGTTTATGAATTGAGCTTACCATTTTTAAGTAAAGGATTGTGTTTTACTTTAAAACATCACAGTCCAGCTCTAAAGTTTGTTAAAAGTTCCCTAACTCCAGTCAACACATTGCAACTTTAGCTAATGTGTGTGTTAGCAGCTAAATTGAATATGGGACAGCGCCATTGCTGGTGAATGAGGAGCCAAGTTGATGACCATTTGATACATATTCTACATGTATTCTAACATGTATGTAACTTTTACCTTTAAGCAGAACTAACCTTTGAAAAATCCTGATTTGTTTGAAATATTTTGCTAATGCTTAAACAGTTATTACTTTTATTATTTTATCTCCAGTGCCACCATGTCAGACTTTGAATATCATGGGTGAGTAAATCCAGTCCTAACTTGTTATTTGCTATTTTTTCCAACTTTTTTCCAATCGTTATATGTTGGCATCTGTTTTACAATGTGTTCTTTCAATTATTGTTTATCTAGAGGCCCGGAAGGTAAGAAAACTCACAAATTCATTTATTGGAAAGCATTGTGTCTCTCGACTCAAACGCTGTGTCACTCTTCCTTTCTCCAGAAGAAGATGAGGAGCAAGGAGAAGGAGAAGGAGGTGAGACTGTGATATTGGACTGTGTTGTTGTGTTCCACTCAAACATAACTTATTCACATAAAGGCAACCTGTCTGTGAAAAAACAGGAGAACTTTCTAAATGTAAATATAGATTTACATATCGTATCCCGCCATGCTGGGTTTACATACTGTCCATGAACTTTGAATTTATATTCAAATTGAACAGGAAACGTTAACATATAATCCTTTGTGTATCTTTTTGGCATAAGCCCTGTACAAGTAATAAGTAATACAACTTAATTCCAATCTGCTTTATTCCACTTTGCCTTTGAGTTAAAGTTGATTCAATTCCTCTGTTGTATTTTGACATATAACTTCTCTTTATTAATAAAAACATTCAATTATTCTCTTTTTGTTTCCTTTTCTGGCTGCCATCTTGAAGAACGGCCAAAATACAAGTAAGATGGAATACTTAAAAAAAGTAAATAAATAGCAGAGAAGTGAAAATAATCTGATGGACATAATGTTATGCCTTCGTGTTATTTACAGGCCGGTCACACAGCTCGCTGCCCCTAAAATCCCTGAGGGGGAGAGGGTTGACTTTGATGTATGTTCCTTCAAGGTTGTTGCTAATGGAACATTTACACGATTTAGGCATCAAATACCAGCTGTTAAATAAAATCTTGATGTGTGACATTTCTG